TTAATAAATTCATTGCTTATGTTCTAAAATTTACAAAACAGACTAAAGATGTAAAACTTTTAATGAAAGCTATATTTCTTTGAATTGGGTGAGTAAAATGCATTGTATGTATCTATTATAAACCACCAGTTGACTAGTAAGTTGAAGAAGGTACTCTTAAAATTCATATTTTTAGTTGGGCAGGGTGATGCACACCTGGAATCCCAGAGACTCAAGAGGCTGAAGTTAAAGCCAGCATGACCAACTTGGATACTAGGCTAAAGGTAAAATTATATTTTGCAGACTGAATGTACAACTTGAAGGATTTTGAGGAGAAAAAAAAGTGATATTTTTAAAAAAGTGATGCCTTATATTAATTTTTATAAGAAGAAAAGTATGTCAATGAGAAGACCAATCATGAAGCTATATTTGATTGAAAGAAATTGAAATGCATTTCTAATATTAAGGTTTTATTAGGATAAAGTACTGATAAGCTTTCTTCTTCATCAATAAGTTATAGTACCATGTAGACTTAAGCCTATAAATGATGAGAAATATTTAAAATTATACAGTGTGAGACAAGCTCCCAGATCCACTATTTACAACTAGTAAATAATATCATGATGAAGGTTTTATTTTAAAAAATAAATAAATAAGCCAAGACTTGAGTTAGAGATGAACTTTGGCTATTTACCACTTCCTGTTCTATATTATTTGCGCCTAATCCCACCCAATATCTCATCTGCAGATAATGACAAAAGAAGATTAAATATCATGTTTATAATTAAGAAGCCATAAGGTAAGAAACATCCTTTAACCTGTAGACCACAATTAATGAACCCAGGTTGCATGCAATTAAAACAGAGAGCAAGTTTACTTTTCCCTACAAGATCAAAGTATAGTTCTGAGATATAATATATTCCATAATTTGGTAATGTCATTATCAAAAGTCTGGCTTTTTAGATTTCTTTTGTGTTTCATATGTTTTGAGAGGTCAGGGGAGTGAACTATACTATATATTTTTAAGACACTAATAAGATTCTATTATTCTAAATTTTATCATCCTTTAGTGAGAATTGGTATCAATCAGTTTTAGTAAAGACTTTAAAATAGAAATTGTGATTCTTAAAAAGCATTTAAAAGATGTTTTATGAAAATCATCTTACCCTTCAGCAGACCCTTTGATTTGTTACCATATGATTTATTTTTTGTCAGTTATTCTATAACAACCATGGTAGCTTTTTAGTTATGCCCATTACTGATGAAAAAAATCTTTGAATCATTAATGTGGGCCCATCAAATTTTTCCATTATATTAAATTCAAATGATATTTACCAGACTGATAATAAAATAACAACATGATTGTTTAATCTCTGTATTTCCAAAAATGTTAGAAAAGCATACATGTCAAAATACTCTTAGTTGTAGGTATTTTTTTGTGAATCAAAAATGTCTTATTAGTACTCTAGAACATCGTGGTCTAGAGTGACTTGACAATATCTATGATTTCCAAGGAGGGTAGCCACTCACCACATTTGGCTATTAAGTATTTGAAATGTGATGGTACAAGTGGGACATTACATTTCTGTATTTATATAATTTTAATTTTAATAGCCACATGAGGCTAGTGCTACCATATTGGACAGTATATTACAGGAGATAGAACTAATGATCACAGCCAATATAGCCAACTGGTTCGGCCTGGGTTCTGGGATCCACAACCACCATTGGTACCTCCAGGGACTGAGGAGGCACGCAGTGCCCCAAATTGAATTAAATCTTTCTTCTCTTATGACTATTTATTTTAAAATTAGCCTTTCTTCTCCTTCGACCTACTCTCATTTTCAAAGGCATTTCAATCAATAATTATCCTGTAGTTTGCTTCTTCAAACAGGACAGATAACCTCGAATAAATAATCTGGTCTCCATGGTTCCTTAAAGCTAAAGTTTTTAAGCCTTTCTATTCCACCCCCACAGTCACTACCTTTGGTCAGTCTATCAGTGTTGGCTTTTTGGAATTATTATTGCAGTTTTCTAACTGGGTTTTCTCTATGTCTGCAGCTCTCTGTCTACCTTCCCTTAACCTTTTTTCAAAACCACTGTTCAATTAATGTTTCCCACATGCAATTCCACTGTTCCTGACTGTTATAAAATCTGTTAGGGCTGTCTTTTATTTTTCTGGGAAGAAATGAAAAAAAAAATGCAAAGTCCTCAGTAAAGCTGCAGATATAATTTTAGGCTCTTGTTCTTTCTTACTACTCTGTGACATTTATTCTTTGTGCCCTGAGCATATAATGCTCTCCTCTCATCTTGATTTTGCTACATACTGGATGTCAGGTCTTCCCCTCCTATAAAGTCTGAAATAATTACTGCAGACTTTTTGATCTTTGAGCCATCTACCTCCACCTTGAACCACACATACATACCCCCCCCACAACGACAACACCATTTCGGTTACAAATTGTTTTAATCAGCTTTTTGCTGCTGTGACTAAAGGATCTGAGCAGCACAATTGTAGAGAAAGAAAAGTTTATTTGAGGGCTTACGGTTTCAGAGGTCTAAGTCCATAGAAGTTTGGCTCCATTTCTTGGGACCCAAGGTGAGGCTGAACATCATGGCAGGAGAGGATGGAGGAGTGAAGCAGGTCACATTACAGTGATCAGGAAACAGAGGGAGACTCCACTGGCCATACACAAAATATGTACCCATAGCCACACCCCCCAGTGAACCATTTCTTCCTGGCATACCCCACCTGCCTCCAGTTATCACTCAAACCCATCAGAGATCAATTCACTGATTAGGTTAAACTCTCACAACCCTATCATTGCTCCTCTGAACCTTCTTGCATTGTCTCACATGTGAGGTTCTGGGGAACACCTCACATCTAAACCATAACACCTGTACTCACAGTGGCTTAAAAAATATCTTCTCTGAAAGTCCTGCTTTAGCACCCAAGGAGGAAGTGGTTGCTCACCTCCACTTTCTAGATGCTATATCTGACTTGTAACACAGCCCCATCCAAATGAATGGAGATTCTTTGTCAAATATTCACATTTCTCTAGCTGTGTGTGAGCATCTGGAACACAAGAACTTTTCTCTACATATCTCTAGAGGCTAACACCGTGCACCTCACTTCTCAAGTTGTTAAATCCATGAATAAATGACAAAATAAAAACAGACTAAGGGTGAGCATTTTAGAAATAAAATAAAATTAGAACAATCCAAAGATAAATAAAATTCTGTGTGCATATTCCAAGTTTTCTAGTTTGGGATCCCAGGAAAGTACAGTTTTGAAAAAAAATATATATGTGTATGTGTGCCTGTATACCTATATTTTTATACATATTCCTATGCATATCATACTTGAATAAACATATTTATATTTGATTGTTTCTATAAAATATGTAAACATTATTTGAAAATGAAAACATACTAAAAACATCTACTAAGAAATAGATTCAAATAAATTTGTCACAATGTTACTTATAAATGACTCAGTCCTGAACTAGTGTTTACCATTTGGTTAATGTATAAGAAAAATGATCCTTATGTTCTTGCTTATGATGACATTTTCTCTGCTCTTTTTCCTTCTCCCTATACATGATAGGACAGAGAAATAGTATTTCACCAAAAATTTTATGTCATATTTAGGTTATCACACAAAACTAACAGTAGTTAATCCCTTCTTATTCACCAATATTCGTCTATTTTATTCACCAATGTCTTTATCTACCAAAGTATAAAAAGCAAAGCTGGATTCCTCAAAATTAAAAGAAAATTAATAATTTATTTTAAATACAGCATATCTTTTCATGAGCCATGTTTGAGCATTTTTATAACTATAACAATCGTTTTCTATTCTATTGTATAACAGTAACAAATTTTGCATTCAGGAAAGATGACACTTTCATTGCCCTGGGAGGGCATTTTAAACCAGAGCTCACTGTAGAGGAGGATTGATAAATAGTTGAACTGTTGAGTCAGGAAAACAGTCAAGAAATAGTACAAGTAAGGAATACAAACCAGAGCACAGTCCAGATTGGACACACACCAGAAATCTATTTGAGTAGATAAAAAACAGTAATTGGAAGTGTTTGGAAAATTCAGAATTCAGAAGTTAGCACTTTTGTCTCTAAAAGTTTCAGAGAAAGAGATGCCTCTGCAAGTGAAGTGAATTCCGTGTTCACCTTACAAATAGTTTCCACTTAACAACTCATATCTTAAATTACTTTAATTCCTGGATGAGCAAAGAGCCTGCAGCATGCTGATATTCTCCTATTCAATTTGGAATAGAGATAATTCTCAAGTAATTACATTAATGTAAAGAAAAGGGACACAGATAACCCAGGAGAATGGGTAAAACAAAGTTACTTATGTTCACATTTGAAATAAACATAGGATTAACCACTATGAAAATTACATTGCAGAAGAGTTAAAAATCCATATCATCCTAATTTGTTTACCATTTAAAATCAATTGGTGGAAAGATGCTCCCACCTTTCAACTTTAAAATAATTTATTTTTTATAAAAACCACTTAACGTGCAACCTCAATAAAGATATTAATGGCTCTAAAAAATCATGTAAAAAACATGTTCCTCAATCCAAAATTTGATCAATCAGCAAATAATTGACCATGAGAAACTGAGAATCTGGGTAAATAAGATAATCAAAGAGAAAACTCAATGGTTGAAAATGCAGAAAGTGAAATTTAAATACCAAAACTAACTTAAACCCTGGGAAAAAATGGAAAGATTTTGTCATGGCTTATTTTCCTTTAATATAAAAATGACTTTACTTAAAAAAATTAAAAACTAAAATAAAGTGATTTGACTTTAATCTGATAGAATTTTATGGGAAAATTTTTTAAAGTGAATGAATTTTATAAAAACGATAAATGGCATGGCAGGCTAAATTTTAAGTAATCATATTAACTTTCTCATAAATTTAAGCATTAATGGAATACTAAATATTGAGATGTTGAAGTTTTTTAAAAGTTATTACATATACATAAACACTTACTGTTATTTCCTTGCAGCAAAAATCTATATCCACAGCAGGATCTGAAGTCATTCACTGTTTAAAAAAAAAAATCACAAAAACATGAATATATTAATTTAAAACACAATAAATTCTAAATTGCAATAGCTACTAAAACTTTTTTATGTTAATAAAAAAACTATTATAATATCCTACTTTTAGTTTATTTTCATAAATGAAAATCTACAAAGTGGAAATTGTTTCTCAGTGTTAACACATAAGTTAAAAACTACAACTGAGAAAAGAAAGAAAATTTTAATTACAGAAAAATACAAAAACATCCTTATTGAAGAAAACAATATATTCACTGTTTCCCCATATTTGAAAGTAATGTGATGACTGGTTTATAGATATTGAATAATGAATAGCTCAAATTTCATTCTGATTAGAAACTTGTTTCAATGTTTATCCAAAATTCTCTGATTCAACAAATCTTTCTTAATCCATCAAATATGAAAATAATAATAAAAAAGACGTCATTAACTTATAGACACTATTCTGAACAATTAAAGAATATATGATGCAATCCATAGTTAAAATACACTATTTCACTCAATACTTGATCAATTTACTAAAGAAAAAGATAAATTAGTTATAGTGTGCTTAATGTTGAACAGTATCTGAATATTTGACCTAAAGTAGAGAACTTAAATAATTATCTAAAGCACTCAGGCCAAAAGACCAATTTGCAAGAATTACCCAGCTCACTGGGGCAAGAAAGAGGAGTCTCTTTCTTGAGTTATTTCTTAAATGCTAATTTTATTTTTCATGGTTGGAATGTACCAAGCACAAAAAGAAATGACATAATTTGAATTAGACATCCACAATCACAAATGAAGTCATCTAAAATGTTATAATAAACCAAAGTGTTGTTCTTAAAAATGCCATTTTTTATTTCTATGAAAATATGTACACATATACTGTAATTAGAGTAAAACTTTTTTATACTTAAGTATTATTTGTAATTTTACATTTCCACTCTACCCAGTACATTTTAATTCCCTTTCCTTTTTTATCCAACATTAAAACTATAAGGCAACTACTGAAATAGTTTTTCCAGTAATATGCTCAATACCAATTTTAAAAGCCAAAAAATTTCCCTGATTTATAAATAAAACTAAAACCTAATATAAAATTGGAAGTGTGTCATTTGTTTAATAAGCCACTTCTTCTATTTGTTCTTTAAGAAACAAAATCTACTGACATAATGTAACCTGAAAGATTTCTTTTTTAAAAAATTTTTTAATATTTATTTTTTTGTTTTTGGTGGACATAACATCTTTATTTTATTTTTATGTGGTGCTGAGGATCGAACCCAGTGCCCTGCGCATGCCAGACGAGCACGCTACCGCTTGAGCCACATTCCCAGCCCATGAAAGATTTCTTTATGTATTTCTCTACTGTGCTTAGTTGTTTTTTTTAAATAATAAATTGAATTGGGGGGAATATTTTAAAGAAAAATTGTTTTAAATTTTCTACAGTAAGTAACCTTAAGAAATGGTTTTCCATCACATAGGGAAAAAGAGATTTTAGGTAATAAAGAGTTTTTGGTCAAGGTCAGAGTAAATACTAGTTTAGATGACCAATCATTAAATCTCTTATTTAAAAATTATTTAATAGCAATAAGTTTAAAGTTAAACTTAGAGAATGTGAATAAAATAATAATCAATGCCTTCTGCTCTTTAACGTTGTTGCTAGTAAGTGGTACATTTTAATATCATTTCCTATAACTCCCAAGCTTCATTTTTATTAATATAGGACAAGTCCTTAAAATGAATGGCTATAAAATTATTTTTTAATTTTATAATTAACTTTTAATTTTTTATAATATACACAAATGTAATATAATTTTATCTTAAGAGTGAAGCTAACCTAAGGCAATATATCTTGAGGATTAGAAGAAACCTATTTCCCAATATAAAAAAATAATTTTCTTAGAAATTGACATATATAACTTTATTTAGAAATAAAAACAGATTCTATTTTACCTCATTTTTAATTTCTTACCTGTGCAATATATTTTTAGCTTTGCCATACTATTTTTTTTTAATTGTCCTACTCGGTAGAAATATTCTAGCATCACCACACACTGTTCATGTTATTAAATGCATTTGGAGAGAAGAAGGTACTATTACATGGGAGGAAATGGGTCCCTCATCTTTAGATTTAGGTTACATTCAAGGTAGTGGAAGAGATACTAGTCATGGGATAAAAGGCCCACTGTCAATTTCTTTAACATTTCTCTTCTATTTTTGATTGTGGTTTCTTTTTTCCTGTAGTCAAATGTCCTACTCAGGCACACTCCCTGATAGCACTGCATGTTCTACTATTGATGAGTTTTTAGAAGTTCAAAATATTTCTTTAAATGAAATATTGTTTGGAATTGCTGTGCTGGAAGTTGGGATAGGGGTTCCAGAACTCTGTCCTTTCCTCTTCTTTTATCCTCTCCTTAGCTGTGGTTCAGAAGCCACCTCCACCAGGCCTCTAGGTTTTAAGGATTTAAACTCCACTTTTCCATTGCACAGTCTTTCATTTTAAAAAACAGTGGAGGGAAAAAGACATGGAGAGTCATAAGTTTACTTGTCAAGAAAAAAGAAATGCAAGAGAAGAAACAGTGTGCAGGATTTAGTGAGAATAAAGGAAATAGAGGGGGGAAAATGGTATTTCTGCCAAAGTTTGCAATGTGTGAGCCAAAGTATTAACAAAATGACTGGAAGAGAGCCCTGAAAGAAAGGTTATTAAAGAAAAGAAATCCTACACATAAACAAAACTGTACTAACAATTAATATCTCCTTTTTCCCAGATGCATATGTAATTTAAATCTCTGATTTCCTGATACTTTAGGTGAATTACAGAATCCATATTTCAAGCTGAGAAAGATTTTAATGTAGTTATCTTCGAAAATCAAAAAAATAAAATACACTCCCACTTGTAAGCAATAAAGGCAGTATGCTAATTGCCTTAAGATTCTGCCACACATCAAATTACAGAGGTGATGTACTTTAGGAACTGAGTTAAAAAGTAGAACTCTGTTCCTTAAAATGTAGGCCTGGATAATGTCATTACCCTTTTGGCATTCCCTTTATTGTTAAACCAACCAACATCTAATTACATTTAGAAGGAAAACAAAATGAAAAAAAAGTAAACAAACAAACAAACAAAAAACTAAACAAACAAAAAACAACCCCCCCCAAAAGCACCCTCATATTTAAGTAGCTACGATAGTATTCACACCCAAAAGCCTGAAGAGTTTGCACAAGGATTTTGGCTGACTTCAATGTCAATTCTCTTCTTTTGAATGTTTAGAAGCTCAGCACCAGACCCTAGTTTCTAGCCTGCCAAAAGGCATGCTGGTTTCTTGGTATGGTTTTCTAGCTCTTTTGCTATTAGTGCATAATTTGACAGTATGCTGCCACGGTAACAGAATTCATTAAGGGCTTTCAGTTTTGTTCTGCCAATGAGGATTGTTGGCTGCATGTAGTGCTGGCCTCTGAAGATTGATCCATAATATTTGTCTTATAAAGCCTTGTCATCTCATAGCATGACTGATGCTACAAAATAATCCATAATGAGCCAGGTTCTCCCAGCATGAGCTACTCCCTAAGGGTAAGTTAGGCACTACTGGAAAGCACATTAACTTCTTTATCATCAAACTTGGGTGCTTAAAATAGACTGAATGAAAGTGGGTAAATTATGCAACCCCATCTTGCACCATTTGGGTTAGGGAGTGGATTAGGAATGTAATCCTTAATATTCATTTGCTACAATATCTCATTGTGGGGGGAAAAAAAAAGACTTTCAGCTTTTGACACTTTTCTTTTTAGTCATTTTCACAGTCAAGATTTTCTTGGAATAACTATGGGGTTGATTCAGTAAAGGAAAAAATCTTATTATTTTTAACCAATATTTTCCCCTATGATTTCCATGAAAAATTTAACATACCTTTTGTTATTTTCAACTATATTTTAATACTGCATAATTACATTTCGTCCACATGTTCTGCCTTTAGCTATTAAATTGCTTATTAATCTTTTTTGTAGTGTTCAATAGTGACAGTTTAAAAATCCTGTGAAATCCTTTTATGCAAATGAGGCCAAAGTAATTAAGTTAATCTCTTTGGGGATTGGTTGGCACCAGATTGAAGAGCTAACTTAGCCATGTATTCTTTCCCGTGGTAGGAGTGAATCAGGGCAAGTATACTGGAAAATAAATCATTAGTATTAAGTGCTCTTGTACTGAATGAAGAGAAAGAGATGTATAATTTTTATATAGGGCAGTAATTCTCAATTAGGCTGATTTTGCTCCTCAGGGGACATTTGGCAATGTCTGGTCACATTTTTTTGTTGTTATAAATATGGGGTGCTAATGACCTCCAGTGGACAGAGGCCAGAGATGCTACTGAACATCCTATAATGCACAGAAAAGCCTTGTACCACTCCACATACATGCAAAGTGATCTGGTATACAATATCAATAATGTTGAGGTTGGGACACTGGTTTATAGTATACTGGAAAAAAAGGGAGAGTGTAAGCCATATTTGTCTTCTTGTTAACTTGGCTCATAGGGCAAAGAGCATGAAGTTAATCTTTGTGGCCTCAGGCTTTGAGAAGGGCAAGATCTCAGGAGTTCATTGAAATAAATACATTGATTCCTTCCAGTAGTTGGAGAAAGGGGAGCCCCAATACCACCACTGTCTTTGGATGCAGGTGTTTCAATAGAACTTTGAAAGTGTAAGCCACAAACAAAGACACCACCAGGTGAAAGGATAGACTTGTAGTACAGAAAGGAGAAGAATGCATGACTCTGTGTGCTACTGATTTGTTTTGCTATTTTTGTCCACAGTCATTTCTCAACATTTTTCCCCTTTAACTTACTACTTTTGTTATATTAGGCTGTGATGTAGAATTATTTTAATATTTTCAGTAAAGCACTAAATTACTTATATCATCATTTTCTGGGCATCTTCATGAATTCTTATAATATTACATACTTAAAAAAGTGTCCAGCATTTGTATACCTATACACAAACACATAT